CGAAACGAAACGAAACGAAACGAAACAAAACGAAACGAAACGAAACGAAACGAAACGAAACGAAACGAAATGAAACGGAACAAAACGAAACGAAAAATAAACGAAATGAAACGAAACGAAACGAAACAAAACAAAACGAAACGAAACGAAAAAAAAACGAAACGAAACGAAACAGATTCTACGAACACCAACGCCAACGAATGGACAAAGCGACATGTCGCCCGGCCGACCGGATGGACGTACGGGGTGGGGCGAATGGACCCGGTCTGTCCGTCCGGTACCATCGTCTCGTCAGGCCGGGAGGGATCGTCAGGTGGTGACGCCAGCGATTCTCCCTTCCGCTCTTCCTGTCGGCGCTGTCCTCCACTCGTCACGACCGCTTCGAGGACAGCCGAGTCCGACCGCCAGGCCGGGCTCGGCTGTCCGTCAAACTGACCCGGTCAGTGCTCTGCCGCGTACTTTATACCACATCAAGTGGTAATTAGGCCCAGCATAGGACAAGATGACGGCTCTAAGTGGCACGAGATATCACAATAGGCGGGTTGGGTATGAACACGCTTTCCGGCCGGCCAATGAATCATTTATTCTCCCTCCGTCTGGCCTGTTTTAGTCCAACTTGGACATTGGACACATGGACACAAAAGACTGAACGAACTAGCCAGACTTTTCGGCAAGAGTGAAAAAAAATAGAAAATTCATATAGTCTTCTAATACAACAAACACACTCACAATAAATCCTCGAATGCACGGAACTGTGATTCTTCCTAAGAAGGGCATTTTCGTCGCCAGCGGTGACCAAGGCTAATTATCATGCATGTGCGCACGAATGCACATGTTTAGATAAACGCATACATACATTCATTCATACAATTAGTCAGCATAAAAGCATATGTCTATCCATTAGCTCTCATGCAGATTATTACTTTCATGTACGCCTCAATTCGCCTTTTATGCACACATGGAAACATACAAATAAGTATTTTTTGCATATAACTATGGTTTCAAGACTACCAGTAAGTTTAGGCTGATTAGAGACTGGTAATTGAATTTGCACACAATCATATGAGTTGAATTTCACATAGCCCTGCTTTCCCAAAAGGTGTTTTCATCCAAGCAAAAGCGGACTGTAGTTTCGAACTCGCCTCGTTCTTACCACA